GCTCCACGAGAAAGCATGAGAAAGTTGACTAAGTGACGCCTTCTTGGCTTAAAAAGGAAGAGTCAAAGAGACTTGGCCAACCTTCTGAAGACCCGAAAGACAGTCTCGGACAAGATGCTAGGATAAGAGGTGCATTCGCTTCATTTCACTTAAAATGATGAAGAAATGGTACTTCAATTTTCCCTCAATCCTATGAGTAGGCCTCATGTTTCCATTGAATGTCACATGGTCCTGCCTCCCAAAAGGCATTCTCATCTCGGCTTGAGTGGACTGCAATTTAGACCTCAACTCAGTCGCTTTCATCAGCACTATTAGCGGGACTCGAACCAGGGTTGTGACAGTGCAGAATATGATCTCGACACGGGAATCATTACACCACACAGCCACTGGTGCGTATCCTGAGACACAAAAAAGAAGTGAATTTAAGCAAGGCCTAGACCTCTCTCCATACAACACTTCTGGGCTGGGATTATCAACAAAGCTATAGCCAGCGACCAAATTACTTATTTTCACTTTATAAGTAGGCTTTCAAGACTACCAGTAGATCTGATGCAAGGGCCGTCTACTCTTATGATTGTGGCTTGGAGGAACGTCTTCAGATACACTCAATAGTAATCCAAAATAATCCAAATAAAGCCCCATGCATACATGAACATGTCTATTTACGTTTATTTTCGTGGGTGTGTCTGTGTGTCGGCCCAAATGTGTGAAGATCAGAGATTATGATTTGAAGAGAATAAATGATAGGTTACGTTGTTCCTTTTCACTTGGCTCGCTGTATATCTTTTTTCGTTTATAATTAGATGAATACATCTCAACTGTATCATAGTTGTCTCACTTTGTATTTTTTTTATAATTTCAACTATTATCAAATTCTACGTCCCTCACCTATCTATACTTTACTCTTAAATGTTTTTGAACATTTCTTTTCTTTTTATATGGGCAAAGTTGAGTCTAGGAGATAAATCGCGGTTACTAGTGCCATCCTTCTCATAATGAATTCGAGCCTGGCTGGCGAGTGGGATTCAAAATTGTGAATTCATTTTAAACTCTTCTCAGTTGATACCAGCGCCGAGTGGTTAAAGCGAGAAGATTATCCTTCCAGGGCCAAGATATAAATGTATACTTTAATCGCTTGAATCTCCCAACCGAGCTAAAGCATCTCTGCCGTCATTCGGACTTGCCAGCGGGACTCACTCTCACACATTCGTGAGCGTCCTCTGGATTCTAAGATTCGATTATCCCGGCCAGCTACAATAGAATGAGGCGATAAAGGAGAAATTCAGACGTGCTTGAGCCTATGAAGTTAAGGTTGTTTGTTGAGAAAAGTGCAAAGAAACTTCGCTTACCTCTCGTCCTGTTTCCCCGTCTTGAGTGCGTTGAGTGAACCGGAACTCCGTCAGATCACCAGCGTTCTCCGCCAACGATGGCCTATTTGTCGCCTGCCTGAGATTTAAATCTCTCATTAGGGCGAAATTCTCAATCACTCGGAGAGGACTGCACACATCCATCATGTCGGCGTCAACTTGCACCTGAGAACGGA